TCTAAAGTTGTTTCTCCTTAATGGTTGTGATTTGGCTGCCAGTAGAGGGCCTCGTTAACATGGAGCAAGAAAGACACAGACAGGGAAAATCCAATTAGACGTGTACTTCCAGAGGAAAGTCATGCTCCGATGGCTTAAACAAATGGCTCTCTAATAATTGTGAGTATGCATTCCCAACTTATCACATTTTTCACTTGAGTTAATGTTATACCACTTCACATATGAGGCATGAATTTAAAAACAGTAAAATTCCATTTGTCTCCACTGGTGCCATTGTTAAATATTTTACTTCTACGTACACTATAACTCTGTATATACAGTTATTATATCTGAATTAAAAATACTGAATTGTTTTGTTTTTGTATTTTTAAATGTGTATTTATTTTTGAGAGAGACAGAGCATGAGTGAGAGAAGGCCAAAAAGAGAGGAAGACACAGAATCTGAAGCAGGCTCCAGGCTCTGAGCTGTCAGCACAGAGCCCGACACGGGGCTCGAACTCATGAACCGTGAGATCATGATCTGAGCCTAAGTCAGATGCTTAGCCGACTGAGCCACCCAGGCGCCCCAGTATGAATTGTTTTTAAGGAATTTAAGAAACAAAAGAAATACAGGTTTTAAATCATGGAATATTTTAAGTGTTCCCCCTTCCTCACTGCAGTTCCAAAAATGTTGTGGAATTTCATTGCCCTCTAGCCTACAGACTTTCTTGTTTGATAGCTCTGCCTTATTTATCTGAAAATGTTTACATTTTGACTTCATTTTGAAAGGATGTTTTGCTTGGTATCGAATTTTAGATTGAGTTATTTTTTCTTAGTATTATATATCTTCCAAAAGTCAGCCATTATTTGTATTTTTATTCCCTGATGTGAAATACATCTTTTTACTGCCTCTGGTTGTTTTTAAGGTTGTCTCTTTATATGGGGTTTCAGTAGTTTAATCATATGTCTGGATGTGCTTTTCTTTCTGTTTATCCTGCTTGACTTTCACTGAGCTTATTCTAAAAGGGGAGCACCCTAAACCCTTGGTCTTTCCAAATAATTAATGTCTTTACTTACAGTTAAGATAACTCTGATTCTATACATCAACTCTTAACAACAGCAATCTCATCTTGTTGGTGCTTGTGAAAGGGGAAGGAAGGAAAGAGTTATTTCTTATAGAGGTCCATCTATTTCCCTGTGTTTACCCAGCTGGTAAACAGCCCAGAGTGAAACAGGCATTATGACCAGAAAGCAGCTTAGCTTTCTGGGAAAAGAGCCTCAGAGGACATGCTGTCCAGTTAATATTAGTGAGCTGCTTCTCTGAGCATGAGAGAAGGATTGCATTCCACACCCTGCTGTCAGAACTTTGTACAGATGGTATATTTCATCTTCTAGTATAGCCTTCAGCCTCCTGTCTTTTCTTGGGGATCTCTCCAGAAACTGAGTAAGATTGACTCAGTCAAAGCAGGTGAGAAAAAGGAGAATCATTGCTCTGGGACCCCTCATTTCCTTTTGCTTCCCCACCAAAGTAGAATGAATCAAAATGCTACTGTTGGATATAAATAAGAATTTCTCAACTCATTTGTGTTGAGAATTTTGAAAGACCAAAAAGAAGCTCTTTCATTTCAGAAACCTGTATCAGGCACCTACTACACGTGTATAGGGCAATATCCTACTTCTGAGAGAAATTCTTGACAGGGTAAAAGCCAGGCTCTTGTTTTAAACTGATAAACAAACGTGAAGAGATCTGGGAGCTCACTCTTAGAGGGATGACAGAAAATCTACCAGCCTCTAGAAGAAATATGCTGGTTTGGATGACATATAGCACAATTTATATACACACTATGTAAACATTATCTTATTTAATCCTCTAGTAACATTGTAAGGTAGTCAGATCTTTTTCCCCTTGGATAAATGATGACCAAGGAAATTAAGGGCCCTGCTTTGAGATGCAAAGGGATGAGGTAGATTCTAGTAAGAGGACTGTAATACATATGAGATTAATTATAAATTAAAACCATAAAAATGTAATTTTAAAAAGTCTTAGCTTTAACACGCCTATGATATTATTTGGTTTTCCTTATATATTTTCATATTATATATGTGATTTATATAAATACACACACAAAAAGACTTTACATATCTGGTTGGAATTTATACACTGTCATTTTCTGCCTTTTTAGTGTTTGTCTTAAGACATATGGAAGGGGGGCACCTGGGTGGCTCAGTAGTTTAAGTGTCTGACTTCGGCTCGGGTCATGATCTCACGGTTTGTGAGTTTGAGCCCCTCGTTGGGCTCTGTGCTGACAGCTCAGAGCCTGCAGCCTGCTTTGGATCTTTCTGACCCTTCCTTGCTCACTCTCTGTCTCTCAAAAATCAATAAACATTAACAAATTTTTCAAAAATAAGACATGGCAGCATATTTATCATAACTTTCATATTAATGAGTCTAAGAGTAGTAAAATAATAATAGATAATTATTTATGTAAATTGTCTGAGATTGTGTCTAGTACTTCTCCATAAGTTGGTATTGCTTTAGAAAACTTTTCATAGAGAATTTTTCATTCCAATTGTTTTCTTTGGATAAATTCCAAATATTGGAATGGTTTCATCAAAGGTTACAAAGTGTCCTTTTTAGAACTTTATCCATTATCAATGCTGGCAACTGCCAAGATGTACTAGCTTCCTTGAATCTCCTCAGTTTCAGTCAAATCCATTTGTTGAACATCATATTTGTATTGTGTGTGTGTGTGTGTGTGTGTGTGTGTGTGTGTGTGTGTGCACTGAAGGTTGTCACAAAAGTATTGGGCATTAATATTATATCCCCAGTAATCTGGCATCAAATTCAACTTGGCTTCTTAGTGTCATGCAATCTTTTTTGTGAGCTGCTTAACAAAATTTTTTTTAATGTGTATTTATTCTGAGAGAGAGAAAGAACACGAGCTGGAGAGGTGCACAGAGAAAGGGAGAAAGAGAATCCCAAGCAACCTTTGTACTCTCAGCATAGACCCAATGCAGGGCTCAAATCCAAAAACTATGAGATCATGACCTGAGCCAAAATCAAGAGTCAGCCACTTAAACAACTGAGCCACCCAGGTGCCCCTTGAGCTGCTTCTAGCTAATGTCAGATTAATCTTCAGAAATGTTATATTTCTACTGCTTTTATATCTTTAAAATACGGCACAGCTACATCTATTCTGGCCTGAGCCTTTTTCCAAAGAAGCATCTGGTACAAATTTGCATGCCCAGCACATAGTAGGCCTTCTATAGGTACCTATTGAATGAATGAATGAGTTTTTGCTCCCAGTAAGTGGAGAGACTAATTAGATGGTTATGTTGATATAAATACTTCACCATACACTCAATCCTTCAACGGACATTTATTGAGTCCTTACTGTGTCTCAGACACAGAACTCACGATGAGTCCTTATTTTGTCTCAGACACAGAACTCACGTGAACGCTCTCTCTCTCTCAAAATAAGTAAGTAAACTTAAAAAAAAGATAAATAAGTTCTGGGAATCTAATGTACAGTATGAGACTGTAATTAATATTGTAGTATATACTTGAAAGTTGTTAATAAAGTAGATCTTATATGTCCTTGCAACAAAAAGAGAAGTAATTAGGTGATGTAATGGAGGTGTTAACCAACAGTATTGTGGTAATCATTTCACAAGTTATCTGTGTATCAAATAATCACATTGCACACATTAAACTTACACAGTGTTAGTGTCAATTATATCTCAGTGAAGCTGAGGGAAAAAAAAAAAAGATACAACCACTGCCTTAGTGTTCTAGTTAAGAGTCTCCCTTCGAATCACAAAGGGAATTCATTAAGTGAAGTGAAGGGTCTGTTTCCCTGGCAAGAATCCAGATAACTGACAAGAACCTGGGGAAAAGGGAGCACATCTGAAAAACTCAAAACGTTTGTCCAAGAATTTCCCACCATGTTAAAGCTGAAGCTTTTTAAAACTGATGGAATCTTATCAGTTCTTGCTGACTTTGACCTTGGTATATTGGATGTCCTGAAGGACAGATTCCTTCATTAGGGAGCTAAACACCCTGGCCCAGATGACAGAGAAACTGAAGGTAAACCCAGGGGACAGTGAAACACATGCCATCCCAGCCATGGCTTCATGTTATGAAATTAGCAACTATATCCCCAGTGCTTCAGTTCTACCCTACAAATCTCCCCTAGGAAACTCTAGTGCGGCCCAAACTAGCTAGCAATATACAAGGAAGGAAATTCCAGGAAAGGCAGTTCAGCCTAGATGGAGAGATTGATTTACAAAGCCACTACAGTGAACTCTTGATCAAGATTTAATGAGTGACTGAATAAATGAATAGATGAATAATAGATTAATTTGAACTAGGAGAAACCTCAGGCCATAAGATCTACAAAGAGATGAAAGGTCAGGCAGAGAAGGGATATTCTTTTATAGAGAGGAGTAAGCAGAGTTCATGGAGTGTTTTTCTGCGTGCAAAATCTGATGGCTCAGGCTGAGGGTGGGTCAGAGTCCAGACTCCTATGTGAAGGGGGAAGCTTAATTAAAGTTTAATCAACTGTTTAAACTTTAGTAGGGATTAGTAGGGATAAACTGTCAACCTAAGCGTTTATGAAGAGTAAACAGGGCAGGAGAAAATCCATTGTGTGGAAGAGGGATGCAGAAGGGACAGGACCAATACAGCTCAGAGAATGTTTTACCTTGAGTTCAGCCTATTTTTGGTAGAGGTTTTTAAGAAGGGGTTCTATGATGACTCAGCCTACAGGCAGAAGAGAAATTTAACCAACATTTGGCTTGTTTTATCAGTGGGGATTCAAAATTCAGCTAATCATTTATAGCGCAAAGATTGGGAATTTGGAGGGTCAGTGTCTGGCCTTGTCATAGGTAAACAAGTGGGGCATCAATGAGTCGTGTTAAAGCAGATGGGAGGAAGGAAGTTTCCTTGCAGTAAGCCATTCCAGGAACACAAAGTAGGTGGAGGGATTTCTTTAACTGTTGCTGTTTTCCAGGATAACAAGGGCTTCGATAAAACTCCATTTTGTAAGTCCCTCAGAGAGTTGTATTTATTGAAATACATTTTGATCTCAGTCTTTTGGCCTGCCTTGAGAATTAGCTCTACAAATCTTCTTACTGTACATATTTGAAGGGTATTATTTGTGTGTGTTTAAGTTTTATTTAAATTCCAGTTAGTTAACACACATTGTGATATTAGGTTTAGTTATACAATAGTGATTCAACACTTTCATACAACACCCAGTGCTCATCACAATAAGTGCACTCCTTAATCTTTATCACCTATTTCACCCACCCCCCCTCCCCCTCCCTCCCTCCTGGTAACCACCAGTTTGTTCTCTATAGTTAGTCTGTTTCTTGGTTGGTTTGTCTCTCACTCTCTCTTTCACTCTCTCTCTCTCTTTCCCCCTTTGCTCATTTGTTTTGTTTCTTAAATTTCACACGAGTGAAATCATAATTTATTTGTCTTTCTCTGATAGACATTTCACCTAGCATAACACTCTCTAGCTCCAGCTACGTCGTTGCAAATGGCAAGATTTCATTCTTTTTTATGGCTGATTAATATTCCATTGTATATATATATACCACCTCTTCTTTATCCATTCAGCAGTCAATGGACATTTGGGTTGTTTCCATAATTTGGCTACTGTAGACAATGCCGCTATAAACATCAGGATACATATATCACTTTGAATTAGTATTTTTGTGTTCTTTGGGTAAAGAGCTAGTAGTGCAATTACTGGATTGTAGGGTTGTTCTATTTTTAACTTGTTGAGGAACCTCCATACTGCTTTCCAGAGTGGCTGCACCAATTTGCATTCCTACCAACAGTGCAAGAGGGCTCCCCTTTGTCTGCATCCTCATCAGCACCTGTTGTTTCTTGTGTTGTTGAGTTTAGCCATTCTGACAGGCGTGAAGTGAAATCTCATTGTAGTTTTGATTTGCATTTCCCTGATAATTAGTGATGTTGAACATCTTTTCATGTATCTGTTGGCCATCTCTGTGTCTTCTTTGGAAGAATGTCTATTCATATCTTCTGCCCATTTTTAATAGGATTGTTAATTGTGTGGATTTTGAGTTTTATAAGTTCTTTATATATTTTGAATAGTAACGTTTTATCAGATATAGATATCAGATATCAGATATATGTCATTTGCAAATATCTTCTCCCGGGGTGCGTAGGTGGCTCAGTTGGTTAAGCGTCCGACTTTGGCTCAGGTCACGATCTCAGAGCGTGAGTTTGAGTCCTGTGTCAAGCTCTGACAGCTCAGAGCCTGGAGCATGCTTCAGATTCTGTGTCTCCCTCTCTCTGCCTCTCCCTAACTCGTGCTCTGTCTCTCTCTCTCAAAAATAAATAAACATTAAATACCTTTTCCTATTCCATAAGCTGCCTTTAAGTTTTGTTGATTGTTTCCTTCTGTGAAGAAGCTTTTTATGTTGATGAGGTCCCATGGCTGATATCAAAGTTGTTACTGCTTGTGTTCTCCTCTTAGATTTTTATGGGTTCAAGTCTCACATTTAAGTCTTTCATCCCTTTGGAATTTTTGTGTGTGTGTATAGTGTATGAAAATGGTCTAGTCTCATTATTCTGCATTTTGCTGTCCAGTTTTCCCAACACTCGTTTGTTGGAGAGACTGTCTTTTTCCCATCGGATTTTCTTTCCTGCTTTATTGAAGATGTATTGACTACATAGTTGTGGGTTCATTTTTGTGTTTTCTATTCTGCTTATTGATCTATGTGTCTATTTTTATTCTAGGACCATACTGTTTTTATCACTACAACTTTGTAATATAACCTGAAGTCCAGAATTCTGATGCCTCCACCTTTGCATCGGATAGTCAGGGTCTTTTGTGGTTCCATACAAATTTTACAATTGTTTGTTCTAGATCTGTAAAAAATGCAGATGGTATTTTGATAGGGATTGCATGAAGTGTGTAGATTGCCTTAGGTACTATAAACATTTTAACAATGTTTGTTCTTCCAATCCATGAGTTGAAATGTTTTTCCATTTCTTTGTGTCATCTGCTGTTTCTTTCCTCAATGTTTTATAGTTTTCAGAGTACAGGTCTTTCACCTCTTTGGTTATCCCTAGATATCTTATTGTTTTTGGTGCAACTGTAAATGGGATTCTTTCATTTCTCTTTCTACTGTTTAATTATTGGTGTATAGACATGCAACAGATTTCTTTTTTTTTTTTTTTAAGGCCAGGTCCACACCCAAGCATGGGGCTTGAACTCGACATGCAACAGATTTCTGTACATTAATTTCATATGCTTCAACTTTACTGACTTCATGTATTAGTTCCATCAGTTTTTGGTGGAGTCTTGGATTTTCTACATAGAGTATCATGTCATCTGCAAAGATGAAGAAAGTCTTCATCTTCCTTGCTGATTTGGATGCCTTTATTTCTTTTTGTCATTTGATTGCTGTGGCTAGGAGTTCCAGTACTATGTTAAATAACAATGAGAGTGGACATCCCTGTCTTGTTCCTGGATATAAAGTAATGCTCTGTTTTTTCCCCATTGATGATTACACTAGCTATGGGTTTTTCACGTATGGCCTTTACTGTGTTGAGGTAATGCTCTCTCTAAACTTACTTTGTTGAGGGTTTTTATCATGAATGGGTGCTGTACTTTCTTAAATGCTCTTTCTGCATCTATTGGGAGGATGATATGGTTCTTATCCTTTCTTTCATTAATGTGCTGTATCATGTTGATTGATTTGTGAATATTGAACCACCCCTGCAGCTCAGGAATAAATCCCACTTGATTGTGGAGAATGATTTTTTTAATGTGTTGTTGGATTCAGTATGCTAGTATTTTACTGAGAATTTCTGGTTCCATGTTCAATCAGAGATATTGGCCTGTAGTTCTTTTATTTACTGCAGTCATTATCTGTTTTTGGTATCATAGTAATGTTGACCTCATAGAATAAATTTGGAAGATTTTCTTCCTTTTCTATTTTTTGGAATAGTTTGAGAAAAATAGATATTAACTCTTCTTTAAGGGGCACCTGGGTGGCTCAGTCAGTTGAGTATCTGATTCAGCTCAGGTCACGATCTCACAGTTCATGAGTTTGAGCCCTGCATTGGACTCTGTGCTGACAGCTCAGAGCCTGGAGCCTGCTTTGGATTCTGTGTCTCCCTCTCTCTCTCTGCCCCTCCCCCACTCACATTCTGTCTCTCTTTCTCTCCAAAATAAATAAACATAAAAATATTTCTTTAAAGTAAATTTTTGCTAGGGGCACCAGGGTGGCTCAGTCAGTTAAGCATTTGACTCTCGATTTTGGCTCATGTCATTGATCTCACTGTCCTGAGATCAAGCCCTGCATGGGGGGTCCCTGCTGGGTGTGGAGCCTGCTTGGGATTCTCTCTCTCCTTCTCCCTCTGCCCCTGTGCCACTCATGCTCTATAAACAAACAAACAAACAAACAAACATTTGGTAGAATTTAGCTGCGAAGCCATCTGGCCCTGGACTTTTGTTTGTTGGGAGTTTATTGACTGCTGAATCAATTTGTTTCATGGTTATTAGTTTGTTCAAGTTTTCTGTTCCCTCCTGTTTGTTTTGGTAATTTATATATTGGTAGAAATTTATCCATTTCTTCCAGGTTGTCGAATTTGTTGACATATCGTTTTTCATAATCTCTTACGATTGTATTTCTGTGCTTTTGGTTGTTATTTCTTTTCTCCCATTTGTGGTTTTATATTATTTCGATTTTTTTCTTTTCGATAAGTCTGGCTAGAGGTCTGTCAATTTTATTGATGTTCAAAAAGAACCTGCTCCGTTTCATTGATATGTTCTATTGTTTTTTAGTTTCTGTATCATTTCTGGTCTAATCTTTATTATTTCCCTCCTTCTGCTAGCTTTAGGCTTCATTTGTTGTTCTTTTTATAGCTCCCTAAGAGTAAGGTTAGGTTGTGCATTTAAGATTTTTGTTGCTTCCTGAGGTAAGCCTGTATTGCTATATACTTTCCTCTTAGGACCGCTTTTGGTGCATCCCAAAGGTTTTGGACCATCATGTTTCATTTATATTATTTCCATGTATTTTTAAATTTCTTCTTTGACTTCCCTATCCCATTCATTGCTTAGTAGCATCTTGGTTTAGTCTCCTTTCTACCTCTTCTTTCTCCTCCTCTTCCTCCTCCTCTTCTCCTTCTTCTTCAATTCCTATAATACCAATGTTGTTACATTTGATGGAGTTGCTGAATTCCCTCAGTCTACTCTCGTGTTCCATAATTCTTCTTTCTCTCTGTTGTTCAATTTCATTATTTTCCATTATTATGTCTTCTATGTCACGAATTCATTCCTCTGCTTCTTCCTGCCTGCTGTTCATTGCATTAAGCCTGCTTCCAATCTCATTTATTGTATTCTTCACCTCTAATTGATTCTTTTTTAAACTCTTTTATCTTTGCAGTAAGAGTCTCCCTGATGTCTTCTATTCTTTTCACAAGCCCAATGAGTATCTTTACAACTGTTGCCTTAAATTCTCCATCACCATGTTACTTATATCTGCCTCACTGAGATCCCTGGATGTGGCCTTATCTTGTTCTTTCATTTGGGATAAATTCCTCCATCTTGGCATTTTGTCTAAGTCTCTGTGTTCTTCTATGTGTTAGAAAAGCCAGCAATGTCTCCTGCTCCCGAAAGTAATGGCCTTATAAAGAAGAGGTCATGTAGTGTCCAAGGCCTGGCACTTCAGGGCATGTCTCTGGTGTGTGCTGAGTGTGCTCTGCTGTTGTATTGTGGCTGCTCTAGTCTTATGACCAGTCATCTTCAGATGCTCTCCTTGCCTGCTTGAGCAGTGTTTGGTCCCTGGCTTAATTGTTGTAAGTTTTAACTAGGTGTGCTCTGGCCCACTTGTGAAATGAGACCCCACACCAACTCTACCAGAACAGAGATGCTTCAGGACTCTCTGGCTGGGAGACATGGTGTGGGCAGGGGTTTGTGCTGGTCTTTTGGGGGAGAGGACTGTCACCCCTGGGATGAGACAAGCTTGACTGAAAAAGGCAGTCCTGTGACAGCACAGGGGGGGAGGAGCTTGGTGTTAGGCAGGTTAGGAATATTAGGCAGGTTAGGTCAGCTACTGTCTGAGCTGAGCTTCTTCCTGCAGGTAGGTCTGTGTTTATTCATGAGGGAGGGAAATGGTGTCTGCCAAGCCTGATGATCTTTAAAACTCCAAGCTTTAAGCCCTCACGAAAGCTTTAAGAACTCACGAAAATCAGCCCCTCTCGTTTTGCAAGCCAACGGCTTTGGGAAAATGTTCCCCTTGTGCATTCTCCTGTGTGTTCCTCTCTCTTGCCTTTCTCCATAACCATGGCTCCCTCTCTTCTACTGCATTCGCTATTCATTTCTCCCCCAAACCATGTCTCTGCACTTCCTACTTTCCTTGAGGTGGCCTCTTTTCTCCTTTAGTTGTAGAGTTTGTTCTGCTAGTCTTCAGGTCTTTAAGATGCTTGAATCTAGTTGTGTTTATGGGATGAAACAAGCCTAGAGTCCTCCTACTCTGACATTATCTTCCTCTCTCTGACCTCTGAAGGATATTGTTGAGAACTTATATGTTACCTATTATATCAATGATTTCTGAATGTGGATGCATAAGAAAATCATCTAGAGGGGCGCCTGGGTGGCTTAGTTGGTTAAGCGTCTGACTTTCGTTTAGGTCATGATCTCACGGTTCGTGGGTTCGAGCCCCGCGTCAGGCTCTGTGCTGACAGCTCAGAGCCTGGAGCCTGTTTCAGAGTCTGTGTCTCCCTCTCTCTCTGACCCTCCCCTGCTCACGCTGTCTCTCTCTCTCTCCTAGAAATAAATAAAACATTAAAAAAAAATAAAATCATCTAGAGAAGTGCTGGAGAGAATGAGGAGCAACTGGAACTCATACCCTGCTAAGGGAATATAAAATAGTTCATCCACTTTGGAATAATGTTGGCAGCACTTTATAAAGTTAAACACATGCTTACTATATGACCATGCAAGTGCACTTCCACATATTTACTAAAGAGGAATAAAAGCACTTGTTGAAATGCACTGGTCTGAGTAGCTTACCTGTACTGATTTATATAACTGTCACAACGACAACCACAACCATTTCCCATGGTGCACATGGGAAATGCACTATGGTCATTGCCATTTTATAGATGAGGAAATAAAGGCACAGAGGAGTTGAGTCACTTGCCTAACATCATACAGCTTCTCAGTGGCAAACTCAGTTGTGTCATGGATGGAAACTTAACCTCAAAGATGCTCATGCATGTTTAGATAATATATATGGTAATCTTAGTGCATCCTTAACTATTGGTATTCTGGGTAATATAAAAATTAAAATAAAAATTGCATAAAGATTTTTTTTAAGTTTAGAAAATATTGAAGAATAATTTCAGAAAGAGGGATCTGTGCTTTCTGTCAGTCTCTTATTCTTCCTAGGAGTCAGTGAGGAGTTCAGTGAATGGGGCACTAATAAAACAGCAGAAATGAAGGCCTGACCATTAGCTAGAACTGCCTTTTGTGTCTGTTTTATGTCTTTGTATGTCTGCTATCACTTCTCATTCCTTGATATTTCTTGATCCTCTCTTTAGGTTAAGGCCATGATGTTTCACTTACAAGGCCCACAAATGCTGCAGATGCTAGAGAAATCCTTGAGGAAGAGCCTCCCGGAGTCCTTAAAGGTGAGAGTAGAACACATAGGGAGAAAAAAAAAATGACTAGCAATTGCCTATGAAAGACGTAGGAAGGAGAACCAGCATTCTTTGAGCACATACTCTGTGCCAGGCACTCACTCATCTTGCATCTCATTTAGTTTCCATCACCTCATTGCAAGGCAAGTCTGTTATACCCATGTAACCAAAGAGGAAATGCAAGCTCAGCTATAGGACTTGACCAAGATTACACCACTAGTGAGAGGCAATTCTATGATTTAAATCGACTATGATCTTTGCTCTAGGATGAATCAAAAACATCCCTTTGTACCATTCCGTGTGCCATTATATAACACTGGAAGGTTTCCCAGAATTGCATGATTGGGTAAACACATTAATGTTTAACTTATTCTTTCTAAATAATCAAGTGCCTGATAAAAGTTAACCATTATGACTCTTCTTTGAAATTAATAGATCAATTTCTATTTTGTCAAAACTCAAGTGATTATGTTTAATTTGGGATGAGACAGAAATTTTGTTTTAGAAATAGATCAGAGATCTACATAAAGAGGTAGAGTCTTTTGGAGGGACAATAATATATGTTACAAAGGGACTAGAATTTTATTGGGGATAAAGGTGTCATTGCATTATGATAAAGATATCAATTCACCAAGAAGACATGAAGATGTATATACCTAACAACAGAGGCTCAAAGGACACAAGACAAAAACTGATAGAACTGAAAGAATAAATAGGTAAACCCATAGGTACAATTAAAGACTTTGACAGTCTTCTTTGAGTAATTTATAGAATAGGCAGAAAGTCTATAACCTACACAGAAGGTCTGGAAAATACTATGAACCAATTTAAGTGATATTTACAGAACATGTCCCTCAACAATAGTGGAATACACATTCTTTTCAAGTGCACATGAAACAGGTACAAACATGGATCATAGTTTTAAGACTTTAAGAAATTGAAATCATACCAAGTATGTCCTCCCATATTAAGTGTAATATGGCATTAAATTTCAAAAAAATCTGAAAGTATCTAGACTATGCTGCAGGTGTTTAGTGCCTTCTTGAGTCCATGATCCTTCCTACTGAGGTAAAGCAGGGCAACTATGGAGGAGGCGGGGTCTGCTTTGACCGTACAAATTCAGTTTCTGGGGTAATATTGCAAAAGTTAACCATCTCTGAGTCTCAGTGTTCTTGCATATAAAATGAGTAGAACCATAAAGTAAATACTTTTGGTAGGCATTCTCCAATGTTTGACTGGGTTACCATTACCTCAGGAACTTGTTGAGAGGATTAAATAAAATGATGTGACAAACTTAATAGCCAACACTTCTTGAGTACTATTAGCAGCTACACCAAGTGCTTTACATCAATTCCAAATTCTAACATGAATCATAAAAACAGTTATGAAGGCTCAATTACCATATTTGAGCCACTTTACAGACTCAGAATCAATGAAGGGAAGGATATATGCCCTTGAAGAAAGACTCGCTACACTGTCAAAAATGTATGCTATCTTCTTCCCAGTTTTCTCCAAAGGAACCCACTGCTTTTAACCAGGTTGACTGTGCATTTGGGGAAAAGAACATAATCAGACTTTCCTTTACTAGATATGGATATTATGTACACACCTGCTCTGCCCTTTATTTATTATCAGAAATAGTGACTGCAGATCAACTATGCTAAGACTAAAATCACTTATTTTGGCAGGCATCCCCTAACATTTGTCTCTATTAACACTTAGCTGCCTTAACTGGCAATACTATACAATGAAATAATGCATCCTACAGATAATGAGCTTTTATTTATTTACTTTTTAGGAGGGGGAGGTAGTAAGTCAGTCAGATGCTCTGTGGAGTGAGATATTTTATCTTGAGAGACTGCTGTGAGGAGATTTCTGGGTTAAGTTTTTTTCTTCTTCCATTCTCTATAAGGCAGATCTCTGGGGTTGGAATTGTTCTTCTTACATTAAGTAGATCATAACTCTTGAGAAAGCTCTTGGCACTACCCTTAGCCCAACAGTATAGTGAGGTGAAGTAACCCTCAATATTAGATCCTCGACTTTAATAAGCAGATGGTTCTTCTGCTCTCCACTCTGTCGACTCTGATTATGCAGTTTTCCCCATAAGTACAAATCTAGAGTATTTGTATGGATGATTCATGCTACAAAGGTACAACCCAAGACTCATTTTCACTCAGTGCTCACTAGAGTTTCAGGTGAGAGAAAGATTTGCCATGGCCTGAAGGACTGCCCATCTATCTCATTTAATGGGTACCAAATAGGTTTATCACACATGTCAACTCCAGTGCATTCCATTTGTAGTGCTGCCTGGACCACTATGTTCTGGCTTTATGATGCTACCATGGGCACAGAAGAGAGGAGTGATTCCACTTATTTTTAATCTAGTGTATATAAATGGCACTGGTCCCAAACTCCAATGTTTAAAAAATGTCACCTATTTGTCCTACAACTGCATTTCTCTGTTGTGTCCCCACCAATGGTGGAAATGTAAAGATTTTATTAAAACTCAGTAGAGTCAAAACTGCCTCCTCCTCTTTCTCCTCAGATTGAGATAAACCTTTCATGGCAGGGGTAGGGAAGTGCGGGATGAGGTGTGGTCCTTTTGTCGTGGAAATACTCATCATTTCTTTGGTCCTTGGTCTTTAGCAATTTTCCATACAATCTGCTGAAGCATCATGTTTCCAACTGCTTCACCCTGGTATGCACTGCTGGTTTTCCTTTTCTCACAACCACAGGGACCCTTCCAGTTTGGAGAATTTCTCTTTGTCAACCTCTACAATGTCCTTGATGGCACTGGTGTTTGAATAAATGCTTGTGGAAAAGATTAAACAGATTGCTGAATGTCAGACTTTGGTCAGCAAAACTCGGGCTTTTAACACTGTTCTGTCTCTACTTATTAAATAGGTCAAAACTCACTTAACCTTTCTGGAAAGGACCTTGGAGATATGTGTAAGGAAAAAAAAAATCTTTAAACAGCAGTTGACCTTTGACCCAGAAATCTTCCTGCTAATATTTCTAATAATAAACATATTTGCAAGGACTTATACAAAAAAAAAGTTCCTTGAAGAATAAACTGTTAAATGAAAAAATCAGAAAAAGCTGAAATGGCCAGCAATAAGAGATAGGAAAATTGAATTAGAGTTCTTTCATATGATGGATATTATGCAGCCGTTAAAAATAATTATGTAGATTTGTGTTTATTGATATGGAAATATGCCCATAGTATAGTGGGGGGGGTACATGTTAAACTAATATATGTTACGTAATTTCATTGCTTAAAAATGTTATGTGTATGGGACTCCTGTTGAGTATCCAGCTTTGGCTCAGATCACAGTCCTGCAGTCTGTGGGTTTGAGCCCCACGACAGGCTCTGTGCTGACAGCTAGGAGCCTAGAGACTGCTTTAGATTCTGTGTCTCCATCTCTCTCTGCCCCTCCCTTGTTTTCTTCTGTCTCTCTCTCTCTCAAAAATAAATAAACACTAAAAAATTTTATGTGTATTTGTAAATAAGTGAAATAAAATGGAAAGATATATCACTCAATTCTACAATGTGATAGTGGATGGTTTGTTTGTTTGTTTTTGATTTTAGAGAGAGCGAGCATGAGTTGGGGAGAGGGGCAGAGAGAGAAAGAGAGAGAGAGAGAGAGAGAGAGAGAGCGCGCGAAACTTAAGCTGAGCCTGCTGCTGGGCTTGATCTCACGACCCTGGGATCATAATTAAGCCCAAATCAAGAGTCAGACATTCAACCGACGAGCCAACCAGGTACCCCTGATTTTTAATTTATTTATTTATCTGGATATTTAACTACATTTATATAATATTCTCATGTTTTGATCCCCAAACCTATTTCTATTTGGAGTAATGAAGTGGAATCTGAAGGTGGTTTGAACCATATGCCTTATCACTTATCACCTTGATTTTGCAGAAATAATCTTTGTCCTGATCAAACAAGACACTTCACTAGCCCTTCTTAATAAGCTGATCCCCTGAGTTTCTGGGTTGCTACAGGTTTATGCTACTGTCTTCCATATGAACCAGGGAAACCCATTCAAGTTAAAGGCCGTGGTGGACAAGTGGCCTGATTTTACAACAGTGGTGATCTGCCCTCAGGAGCAGGTATGGTGCCAGATGTGGAATGAATATGCTTTCGTGTTCTTATTTGTTATGTGTCTACCATGCACCTGGCAATGTGGTAGACCCAGGGGATATAGAAATGAGTTTCATGATGGTGAACAAGTCCTCGTTCCCAAGAAGCTCACGGCTTGGAGAAAAGATAGATAAGCAAACAAATTACAACATGGAGTAAAAATGTATAAAAACATACAAGAAAATACAACATACAAGATACAAGCAGCACTAACCAAGAGATGATTAAAACCACCAATGTCAGGGTGTGCAAGGAGAGGATCAGACACCTGCCTAGTAGACATTTCACCAAAACTGGATTTTGAAGATAAATAGGTTTTTGGCAGGCTGACAAGAATACTAGAGCATTCTAAGCAGAAAAATAATATCTAGAAACTAGTAAAGGTAAACAAGAAGAATTTTAAGGAAATGTAAAGAACAAATTGAAATGTTTGTATATGAGAATATATTTTCATTGCCAACTTTTAAGCATCACTCAAACTAAGTGGTTAATACATTTCAGATACAAATATGTTATAAGCATATGGGAAAAGATAAAGTAAAAATTTATGCATGCAAAATATGTAACCATAAAATGTCATTTTAACATAAAAATTTTCAAATAAAATTTAAATGTATAGTGCCATTTAAAAATACTGAACTAAACAGAATACAAAAATGAAGACATTTACATAAATTATTGAACTAAGAAATGAAGTTATGAGTGGCTTTTTGTGCAATACTTTCTAGCTACTCTACCCCCTTATTGGGTAGTTGTTTTGACTCCTTCCTTCATCTTCAAATAACATAATCTTTCATTTGTTAACTTTGAGAAGATCTTTTTGAACAAATTTTGTGCTCAAATTTCAATTTTTTGAGGAATGCAAGTTATTTTTTAAATAATAGTGCATTGTAGTTTACATTTTATTTATTTTTATTCATTCATTTATTTATTTATTACAAATAGTTTATTGTCAAATTGGTTTCCATATAACACCCAGTGCTCATCCCCACAAGCGCCCCCCTCTGTGCCCATCGCCCCTCCCCCTCACATCCATCAGTCCTCAGTTTTTGTCAGCATTCAAGAGTCTCTCATGGTTTGCCTCTCTCCCTTTCCCCCACCATTTCCCCCCTTCTCCCCCATCGTCCTCCGTTAAGTTCCTCCTATACGTGCAAACATATCTGTCCTTTTCTTTTTTTTTTTTTTAATGTTTTTTATTTATTTCTAGGAGAGAGAGAGAGAGAGAGAGAGAGAGAGAGAGAGAGACAGCGTGAGCAGGGGAGGGTCAGAGAGAGAGGGAGTCACAGACTGAAACAGGCTCCAGGCTCTGAGCTGGCAGTCAGCACAGAGCCTGACGTGGGGCTCGAACCCATGAACCGCGAGATCATGACCTAAGCAAAAGTCAGACGCTTAACCGACTAAGCCACCCAGGCACCCCATGATATCTGTCCTTTTCTAACTGACTTATTTCGCTCAGCATAACACCCTCAAGCTCCATCCATGTTGCTACACAAGGCCAGATTTCATTCTTTCTCATTGCCATGTAGTATTCCATGGTATAGATAAACCACATCTTCTTGATCCATTCATCTGTTGATGGACACTTAGGCTCCTTCCATGTTTTGGCTCTTGTTGAGAGTGTAGTTTACATATTAAAGACATCATGTGTCCAGTAAGGGGTTAATATCCAAAATATATAAAGAACTTATACTCAACACTACAAAAACAAATAACTCAGTTAAAAAATTGGCAAAGGAGGGGTACCTGGGTGGCTCAGTCGGTTAAGCATCCAACTTCGGCTCAGGTCATGATCTCAACAGTTCATGAGTTCAAGCCTCACATCAGGCTCTGTGCTGACAGCTCAGAGACTGGAGGCTGCTTCAGATTCTGTGTCTCCCTCTCTCTCTGCCCCTCCCCAACTTGTGCTCTGTCTCTCAAAAATGAATAAACACTAAAAAAATTAGCAGAGGATCTGAATAGACATTTATCCAAAAAAGACATATAAATGGCCAACAACAAATGAAAAGATGCCGAATATCACTAATCATCAGGGAAATGCAAATTAAAATCACAATAAGATATCACTGTATATCTATCAGAATGGTTAAAATAAAAAACACAAGAAGCAAGTGTTGGAGTGGATGTGGAACAAAAGGAACCTTCATACACTGTTGGTGGGAGTGTGTACTGGTGCAGCCTCTATGGAAAACAGTATAGAGGTTCTTCAAAAAGTTAAAAATAAAATTAACATATGATCTAATAATTCCACTATTGGGTATTTACCCAAAGAAAATGAAAACATAAATTTAAAAAGGGATATATGCATCCCTATGTTTATTGCAGGATTATTTACAATAACCAAGATATGGAAGCAATCCAAGTGTCCATCAATAGATGAATGAATAAAGATGTGGTATACATACATACATACATACATATATATATATATATATATATATATATATACATATGTAATGGAATATTATTCAGCCATCAAAAAGAATGAAATCTTGTAATTTACAACAGCATGGATGGGCTTAGAGGGTATAATGCTAAATGAAATAAGTCAGAGAAAGACAAATACCATAAAATTTCACTCATATGTGGGATTTAAGAAACAAAACAGATGAACCAACAAAGAAAAAAGGGGAAATCAAAAAGCAGACTCTTAAATACAGAGGATAACAGATGGTAGTCAGAAGGGAGGTGGGTGGGGGTACGGGTGAAAGAGGTGAAGGGGAATAAGAGTATGCTTACCATGATGAGCACTGGGAAATGTATAGAATTGTTGAATCAATATATTGTACACCTGAAACTAATATAATGCTTTATATTAATTAATTATACTTTGAATTAAAAAATTTAACGAAAATAAAGACACCATGTATCTTTATTTTGTGTAACTATATCATATATAAGGTTACTTGTGTCAATTTCAACATTGTTTTGTTTACAATCCAATTTTTCTGAGATTCTTTATTTTTTTTGAGACTCTTTTAAACAGAATAAGATTTACTCTTACAACAGAACCTTGCCTTTGACAATAATACTTTCTTTCTCCTAAGGATTACAGAATTATAGAAGAAGGCTTTTTAAATCTGTGCACATTTGATTGATTTGAAATTGTAATGCAACATACATGTATCTAGTTCAGTATGTTTTTCTTAATCATAGAGTAATTGATTAAATCCTTGATTTGTTTATATGATATAAATGATTCAGGAATAAGGACAATACATCAAGAAAAATATCACAAATTATAAGTTTATAATTATTTTTTACATTTATTTATTTTTGAGAGACAGAAAGAGACAGCACATGCAGGGGAGGGACAGAGAGAGAAGGAGACACAGACTCCGAAGCAGGCTCCAGGCTCTGAGCTGTCAACACAGAGCCCAATGCTGGGCTCAAACTCACAAACTGTGAGATCATGACCTGAGCCGAAGTCAGATGCTTAACCTACTGAGCCAGCCAGGCACTCCTATAAGTTTATAAAACAGCACAGTATAATGAACTAAAGCCAAGTGTTCCTATCACACTGGGTATAGATCAACTTGATTTATTCCACATTCCATACAGGAAATGACAGATGATTTTGATTACTACACCAACACCTACCAAATCTATTATAAGAATCCCACAAACTGTCAAGAGTTCCTTGGCGCATCAGATGTCATCAATTGGAAGCAACATTTTCTGATCCAAAGTAAGTAAGGGATCTGGGGTATGTGCTGGCTTCTGTGACTGTTCATGTCTACACCTGCAGGGTCACTTTTCATCCTAAGCACTTTTACTTACGGCCTTTACTTTCTCTGCCAAACCCCAGACACTCAGTTTGATATTTGTTCCTTGCATCAGTTGCTAGGATTCCAACACTGCAGACTATGGAGTTGATAGAAGGAACTGTGGACAATAGAATTTCTTGTTAGCTGAGGATTCATGATACATTTTGGTGACATATTCGGGATCCTTTACTGTGATAAGGTGTGAGAGTAAAGCTCCCCATCTGGCCATCCATTCTTAGAAGAAGAATGACAGCTTCTTGTGGCACAGAGCACCTCCCGATGACAAGGACAACCATGGTTATGAGCATGCCTTCCAGAATCAGATTCTCTAGAATGGCATCCTTGCTCTGCCTGTTACTGGCTTCTTAATTTGAGCAAGTGATATAACTTATTTTAACATGTAAAAAGTGAGGATAGTATAGTAGAAGTACCCAAAACATAGGGTCAATGGAAGAATTAAATGTATTAGACCAATACCTGGGCATGAAGTATGTGCACACTCAAGGTTGACTACTATTTTTATATACCATTGTTCCACTGATTTCACAGTGATAAAGTCAGGATTTCTAATATTATCTGTCTTACATAAGAGGAAGTCGCTGAAGGAGTGACTTGGCTATGGTCACATGGTTAATGGCAATACCCAAAGCAATACTGTCTGACTTTAAATTCTGCATACTTCCCCTGGGAAGCATCTTTAGCATCTACATGGGAAATCACTTCTCACCTCACCTTACTCCTCTCTAGGTTCACAGTCCAGCCTGAAGAATGTGATACAGAATCTTGCAGCTGCTAAATTGGTCAAGGTCAAGCAAGATCAAAGAATTATGTATATGATGCCTGAGACAGCAAGTAAACTGATCCCTTCCCTGCTGGAGGCAAAGAACTTATCTCTTAAATCTGGCAGACCCAAGGCCATGTGAGTTTGAAAAAAGATGCTCTGCATTACTCTCATCTTTCTGTACAGAAGTGGCCTCCCAGCTTCTCTCCCTATGTTCACTCTTGCCTCCCTATAATTCATTTCCAGGGTGATCCTTTTGGTGACATGGATTATGTTAATACATCCACTTAAAAGCCATCAGTGTTTCTCAGCTCACACACCCATTGTGGACACCCAGGGTCCTGTAAGACCTGTAATCCACCACCTCTTGGACTTCACCTTGTTTCTCTTGCTCACTCCCACCAGCAGCTCTGGCCTTCTTTCTGAGACTTGTTCTCATACACTTACACATGCCTTTGGACCACTGCATTTGTTCTTTGCTTAAAATGTCCTTTCCTCTCATCTTTACATATCTGCTTCTTTCTTGCCATTCACTCTCTCAAAAGTCATTTCCTTGGAGAGTTCTCTTAAGAGCAACCTAAAACCACCCCTTCCCGTAATCCTTCATCACAAAACCCAATTTTTATTTCCCTCAGTGAACGTATCATTATCCAAAATCAGCTTCCTGGTATTTTATTGACCTGTTTGCTGTTTGATTCTCTCCTGCAAAATTTCAAACTCCACAAGAGCAGGGACACTATTTATGTTGTTCACCAAGTTTTCAGTAGCCAGAACAGAACAGAAAACACTGCTTCATAAATATGCATTCAATGAGTGTACTTCTCAGAGCAAAGGTTTTCCAGTAAGGAGAATTTAAACATATTGCTGGGTCCTACTTCCATAGGTTCAGATTCAGTAGGCCTGGAGTGGAGCCAAGGAATATTTTTTTACAGCATCATACAAGGTATAATTGACAAATAATAAATTGCACATATTTAAAGTGAATAATAAGTTTTGACCAGAGTACAATCATGAAACAACTACAGTCAAGGTAATGAATATATCCTACCCCCGAAGTCTCCTTGTTTCTTTTATAATCCCTCTTTCCCTCCCCTCAACCTCCTCTCCCACTCCCAGGTAAACTTTAACTCGTTTGTGTCACTACAGATTGCATTTCCTAGAATTTTATGTAAGTGGAATCACAAAAAATATACTCTTTATTGTTTCTGGCTTGTTTCACTAAGCATGATTATTTTGAGATTCATCCATGTTGTTGCATGAATCCATAGCTCATTACTGAGTAGTAATCCATCATATAAATAGACAATAGTTTGTTTCTCTGTTCACTAGTTAATAGACATTTGAGTTTCCAGTTTGGAGCTGCTACAAATAAAGGTACCAAGAACATTCGTGTAAAAAAAAAAAAAAAAAAAACAACTGGGGCACCTGGGTGGCTCAGTTGGTTAAGCATCCGACTTCGGCTCAGGTCATGATCTCATGGTTCATGGGTTCGAGCCCCGTGTCAGGTTCTGTGCTGACAGCTCAGAGCCTGGTGCCTGCTCCCGATTCTGTGTCTCCCTCTCTCTCTGACCCTCCCCTGCTCACGCTGCCCCTCTCTCTCTCTCTCTCGCTCTCTCTCTCAGAAGTAAATTTAAAAAAAAATTTTAAAAAATCCCTGCACTGATGCCTGAATAGAATTAAAACTGATATAGGTATTTGATTTGAAGATGTCCAATCCTATGGCCCTCTGTGGGTTAATATGCCTGGAAAAGCTGTATTCATACTGTATTGCACCTAGCACCTGAAAGACACCTCTAAGTCTATAATCTCATTTGATTCTCTTGTCCATGCCACAAGATAAACAAGGTAGGAGACACTATCCCCATTTTCCTGACAGAAGAGAGATTCAGTGAATGAAATAGCTTGTTCAGGTCATGTGGATGGTGAAGGGCATAACTGGAGCTCACTTGTAGATCTCGCTCCGCCTTGTGGACTCTTTCCAGGACACCTCTCGAAGCCCTTTCATACCACCGCAGCAGCCTTCAGACTTCAGTGTTCTGTAACATGTGGCTTGCCTTCACTTCGCACCACTATCTCTCTCTCTCTGGCCTTCAGCTTTCCCACTGTGGCCCAGGATCCTGTTACACCAACATCCAAAGATTCCAAGATGCTAAGCTCTGGCTTTGCAGCTTGCGGGTGTATGCTTTGAGAGCACTAGCTTATTTTCTGCTTACCTATTCTTATGTGTAGAACAGGGATGTTAATTCTCCTATCTTAAGTGGAGAGTCAGAGCAGTGACTGATGCTTAGTGATGCAGCATTAATTAAAGCTTAATTTTTGTGTAATTCTATTTTTTGTTTGTGGCAGAGGTCCTAGGTACTTATCATGCAATAGCTCTTCTATTATTTGACAGAGGTGCTATTAATCTCCCCACTTGTGTTAATGTCTCCATTTTATAAAAAAGATTATGATTTCAGGCCATCTGGTTGCAGAATCTATACCTTTACCTGTGCTCCAATTTGCATTGTCTGAAAACAATTTTGGGGCAAAAAAATACAATACTTCATAGTATGTGTGGTATTACTGGGTGTTCTTTTCCCTTGTTCTCAATAGTAACCAAGAGATGTTTAAACTCTCCTCCCTGGATGTGACCCACGCTGCCTTGGTGAATAAATTCTGGCATTTTGGCGGCAATGAGAGGAGCCAGAGATTCATCGAGCGCTGTATCTGGACCTTCCCGACCTTCTGCCTGCTGGGGCCTGAGGGGACCCCTGTGTCCTGGAGCCTGATGGATCAGACAGGAGAGATACGGATGGGGGGTACTGTGCCCGAGTACCGGGCCCAGGGTCTCTCTTCTCACTTCATGAGTGTCCACAGCCATGCTATGGACAAACTTGGATACCCTGCTTATTACCATACAGACATAACCAACAAAAGTGTACAGAAAATGAGTCACCGTCTGCAACATGTCATCATGCCTTGTGACTGGAACCAGTGGCACTGTGAGCCCCTGTGAAGCAGTCCTGAACACAGGACAGCGTTGCATGGGCTGATATAGCATGAGGAGTGTACGGGTGGGTGGAGAGAAATAATAAGCTCTAATTAGCATTAAAGCCATGTGTGTTGTCTTGTCTGGGAAACAGTGTGAATGGTCAACAGAACCACCACAAGCCTGCTCTCAAACCATGGACTCCCCTTTGGGTCCAGCAGAGCTGGCATGGCCAGACCCTCCTGTAGTGGACCCTGCTCTTGTTTAGTTTCCTACACTGCTGGATATCAGTGACACACTTTACTCATTTGCATGCTGCCCTAATGTTTCTCCTGTCTTACAAATGGTTTATTGTCAATGAGCATATCTTGCCACTTTTGCCAAGATATGGTATTACCTTAAGGGTAGTCTAATTTTCCTCTCTCTTTCCTTTACCCTCTCTTTCTCGGTCTCCCACCCGCAGCCAGCTTCACTGAGGCATCATTGACAGATAAAATTGTAATCTATTTAAAGGGTAAAACGTGGGGATACACACATACACACGTTGTGAAAGGATTCCCACAACCAAGTTGATTAATACTTCCATTACTTCATATACTTACCTTGTCTGTGTGTGTGTGCATGAGAGAGAGAGAGAACCTAAGATCTAACCACTTAGCAAATTTCATGCCACATTACAGAATCGTCAACAACAGTCACCATCCTATACATTATGTCCTTAGAATAGTTCATCTTAATATTGAAAGTTTGAACCCTTTTATCAGACTCTCCCTATTTCCTCCATTTCCCAGCCCCTGGCAACCATCATTCTACTGCTTCTGAGTTTCTAAAAGTTTCAAAAGTATCTGGTTTTTTGTTGTTGTTGTTGTTGTTTTTGTTTTTTAGAGTCCACATAGAAATGACACCATAAAGTATCTGTCTTTATCTGTCTGGCTCATTTCACTAGCATAATGTCCTTCAGAATCATTCATGTTATCACAAATGGCAGGATATCCTTCTTATTTTATAGCTTAATAATATTCCTCTGTGTGTGTGTGTGTGTGTGTGTGTTTATCACTTCTTTATTCATTCTTCTAAATGGACACTTAGTTTGTTTTCATGAATCCTACAGAAAACACAATGACCCTAAACCCATATTTTTCAATAATAACACTGAATGTAAATGGACTAAATACTCCAATCAAAAGACATAGGGTAGCAGAAGGGATAAAAAAACAACAACCAGAGCCATCTATTTGCTGTTTACAAGAGACTCACTTTAGACCTGAAGACACTTCCAGATTGAAAGTGAGGGGATGGAGAAATATCTATCATGCTACTGGAAGTCAAAAGAAAGCTGGAGTAGCTATACTTATATCAGACAAACTGCACTTTAAAGTAAAGGCTGTAACAAGGGATGAAGAAGGGCTATATATAATAATTACAGGGTCTATCCATTAGGAAGAGCTAACAATTATAAATGTCTACACACTTAATTTGGGAGCACCCAAATATATAAAACAATCATAAACAAAAACAATTTTATTGATAAGAATGTGCTAACTGCAGGGGACTTTCATACTCTACTTACAGCAATGGATAGATCAACTAGACAGAAAATCACTAAAGAAACAATGGACTTGAATGACACATTGGACCAGATGTATTTGACAGATATATTTAGAACTCTACATCCTGATGCTATTTAATTCACTTTCTTCTCAAGTGCACATGGTACATTCTCCAAGATAGATCACATACTGGGTCACAAAGCAGCCCTCAATAAATATAAAAGAATTGAGGTCATACCATGCACATTTTCAGATCACAGTGCTATGAAACCTGAAATCAACCACAGGAAGAAGTCTGGAAAACCTCCAAAAGCATAGAGGTTAAATAACACCCTACTAAAGAATGAATGTGTCAATCAGGCAATTAGAGAAGAAATTAAAAAATATATGGAAACAAATGAAAATGAAAACACAGCAATTCAAACTCTTTGGGATGCAGCAAAGGCAGTCCTAAGAGGAAAATACATTGCAATTCAGGTCTATCTCAAGAAACTAGAAAAATCCCGAATACAAAATCTAACAGCGCATCTATAGGAACTAGAAGCAGAGCATAAAGAACACCCCAAAACCAGCAGAAGAAGAGAAATAATAAATATCAGGGGAGAAATAAACAATATAGAATCCAAAAAGAAAACACAAAAAAAACAGTTGAACACATCAATTAAACCAAGATTTGGTTTTTTGAAAAAATAAACAAAATTGATACACCTTTAGCCAGGCTTTTCAAAAAGATTCTTTGCTTTAGTTTTTAACAATTAAATCACAATGTGTCTTGGTGTGGGTCTCTTTGGATTAATATTTTTGGTCCCTTTTGGGTTTCTTGGACTTCGGTGTCCGTTGCTTTCCCCAGGTTTGGGAAGATTTTAGCCATTATTTTTTTGAACACATTCTGCACCCTTCTCTCTCTTTTCTCCTTCTTGGATATCTATAATGGGTATATTGTCCACTATACTGCGTGCCATAAGTTTCTGAAGTTATTTTCACTCTTTTAAGTTATTTTTTATTTTTACTCCTCTGATTAGATGATTTTCATTGACCTGTCTTTGAGTTTGCTGATCTGACTTAGTCTGCTCTGAACCCCTCTATTGAATTTTCCAGTTTATTGTGTTCTTCAGCTCAATTATTTGTTTGCTACTTTTAAAATACCTTCTGTTTCGAGATGCCTGGGTGGTGACTCAGTAATTTAAGCATTTGGCTTTTAGTTTTGTCTCAGGTCATGATCCCAGGGTCTTGGGATTGAGTCCCATGTCACGGTCTGTGCTGATAGCATGGAGCCTGTCTGGGATTCTCTCTCTTTCTGCCTCTCCCCCACTTTCACTTTCTGTCTCAAAATAAATAAATAAACATAAATAAAATAAAATAAAATAAAATAAAATAAAATATCTTCTGTCTTTTTGTTGAAATGTTCACTTTGTTCATGCATTGCTCTCCTGACCTTGGTAAGCATCTTTATGACTGTTATTTGGAACTCTCTTTCAGGTAAATCACTCATGAAAACCTGTTTCATGAAGACTGGTTTCTGGAGATTTATTGTGTGTGTGTGTGTGTGTGTGTGTGTGTAAATTTGTGTATTTGTTTGGAACGTATTCTTCCATTTCTTGAGTTTCCTTGACTCTCTGTATTAGTTTTTGTACGTTAGATAAAATAGCCACCTATTCCAGTCTTGACAGAGTGGTCTCATGTAGGAAATAAAGTTTGTCAATAAGCTTGACCTGAGACTTTACTGTCCTCAAGCCTCTGTGTTTTTGTAAATCGCTGTCATTGCTCTTAGTGATTCCAAGGAGACTAGGGTGTCCAAGACCTGTCAGTATCCTAATAGCATGGGAATTGCCTACATGACTGTTTAGCCTCCCAGAGAACTATTGTTCACCAGCTCTTTCAGCTTCCAATGCAAGCTAATCTGAAGCCCAATCTCCAGGCAGCACTTGGGCAAGTCAAGATATTAGATATGATGCAATCTAGAGCCTATCAGGAATAAACTGGGAGCTGAGTGTTTTTGTCTATTTACTCTGTACTTAGCCAGAGAGAGTAGCCTCCGGGAATGCTTTTGTACCCATTTAGAGCCACCTCTCTTTTTTTAAAGGTTTATTTTTGAGAGAGAACGAGACAAAGCATGATTGGGGAAGGGGCAGAGAGACAGACAGACAGACAGAATCTGAAGCAGGCTTCAGGGTCTGAGCTGTCAACACAGAGCCTGACGTTGGGCTCAAACTTGTAAACCATAAGACCATGACCTGAGTCGAAGTCAGACGCTTAACTGACTGAGCCACTCAAGCACCCCAAGCCACCTCTTTTTTTTTTTTAATTTCAAGTTTTTATTTAAATTCCACCTAGTTAACATAAATGGACACACTGAATTCAGGTACAGAATTTAGTGATTCATAACTTACATGTAACACCCAGTGCTCATCACAAGTGCCCTCCTTAATACTCATCACCCATTTAGCCCATCCCCCACCCACCTCCCTTCATCAACCCTCAGTTTGTTCTCTGTAGTTAAGAGTCTCTTATGATTTGCTTCCCTCTCTTTTTTCCTCCTTCCCCTATGTTCTTCTGTTTTATTTCTTAAATTTCACATGTGAGTGAAGTCATATGGTATTTGTCTTTCTCTGACTCATTTCACTTATCATAATACACACTAGCTTCATCCATGTCGTTGCAACTGTAGAGTCACCTGTTTATTTTGTGTATTTCTGGCAAGATTCATGAATACTGAGTCTTGTCAGCTCCCAGAGCTAGGTGATTTAGAAGCCAGTCCCTCATACGGCAGCCTTAGAAAATGAGGTGTTAGAGGTGTTAGATTTGTAGAGAAATTCCTTTCAGGGAGAAGCTGGAGACTTGTTTTTATTAGTGCGGTTAACTGAGGAGAGAAGGTAGAGGATGTACCCAGCAGCTCTTTAAGGTCTCTCGAAAGATCCCAGTGAGCTCACACATATGGTTAATTAGAAGCCAGAGACTCATGCAGCCGTTTGGAAAGTAAGCAGTCAAATCCCTCCAAGGAGACTAGGAGATAGGCATTTTGCCTGCTCCTTCTGTGCTGAGCCTGGAAGGGATAGCTACAAGAAATGCTCATGCACCCATTTTAAAATTGCTTCTTTGTTTGATGTGGTCCTGTGAGATTCATGTATGCCAAGCCACAATAGCTCTCAGAGAGAGGTGATTTGGGGGTCCATCCCTTGGGTGGCAGCCTTACAAACTGGGCACTAGATGTGTGGTCCAAATCTTTTGCTTCTCAGGAAGACACTGAGAGTTGGGGATTCCCTCCTGATTTTAAGGGGCTATGCTGAGGATAGGGTTTATTCTAAGTGTATCTCAGCCCTTCCTACCCATTTCAATGTGGCTCTTTTTTTATTCACTTAATGCGTAGAGATTACTTGGCCAGTTTCTGGATTTCTCTCAGAGGGAACTGCCCCTTCTAAATGTGTCCTTAGGAACAGAGAAAATCAAGAGCTTCCCATCCCACCATCTTGGTGACATCACTTCTGACCCAATTTTTTTAGGGACCAAAGTGTGTCCTACCTATTCAGTACATTGTGAAGTGATTCTTTGACCAGTATCCCTTTGATCTTTAATA